TATGTATAATATAAATTTTTATTAATAATTTATCGACATTAACAGCTTTATAATATGATACTTAATTGAGCACCAAATTATTAAAACAGTTGCTTGTCAATTTAATTCGCGATTACTAAAATAGTTTAATTACGTTTATAGTTCGAATTAAAATAATTCGATGCGATTCGAAAAGTTTTCAAATATGATATACATATATGCAAGTACATATATAGTATATATAGTAATTCAAAATTAAATTATTTTAAGCATTAAAAGATCCAGCTTCGACCTTATAGGCCTTTAATTTCTAGTATTAATTGTGTTCTCACATATGCGGTTTAAAATAAAGTTTCTTAATATAAATATGTCTTATATCTGATTTGTATCCATTGTGCGTTTATCTTTCTATTCACACAAATTTTTCTCCTAATTCTTTATTTCTATAATAAATAAATAAAAAATTCTAAAATATAAAATCTAATAAATAAATTTTTAAAAAATTATAAATAAAGATTAAACGTAACATACAATAGATACAGATGAAATATAAAACATAAATATCTTAATATTTTATTTCTAATGTTTGATATTTCCACTTGTTCCTAATATTTCTTCCTAATATTTCTTCCGTTATGCACAAACTCCAAGTAAGAAGGTGATAGATATGTAGATGTATTGAGCTTCATTAAGGACTTTGAATAGCTAATTAATGTACACATGACAGGAAACACACGACACATTCGATATTTACGTTAAGTCAGAGTCAGATTAAGCAAATAAGCGCAAACATGAAATTACGATGTCGTTCGCGTTAACTGAAGCAAGTTACTCCATTCATGTTTATTCACGTTCGTTTGCTTGGTCTAATAAAAATTCTTTACATAAAGTTCGAATATTTTTTAAAAATTCAATCAAGAAATATTTAATAAATTGTCGAATTAATTTCAAAAAGTTTTCAGGGGAGTAAAATTAGTCGACAAAATAAATAATTTGGTTTTTTTCGGGACATAATTTTACGAGCAAATTCAAATCTGTTCTGTGTTAAAGTATGAAATGAAATCGTAATTGCATCGGTGGAAGCAAAGTTCTCTGTAGCTACGAGTAAATGCATGATAATTTTTTTCTATTTGTACAATCCGTATTTATTTTTATTTTCAAGAGTTCCGTAATTTATATTAATGTTTCAAAGTTTGATGCAGTCACAAATATATAATTTAAATTACAAAACTTTTCCATGCTGGATACATATTGCCTGAAGTTCAAAAGTGCATTTACTGCTAGTGATATAATTATTGCAATTTCCGAGCGACGTAACGTTCCTGGAAAGTTGCGAGCGAAGGATCGTTGCGCGCAACGGCTGTTAAAGAATACATTGAATTTAAATAATCTAAACGTCCCTCGTAGTGTATTCCTTTGATTCGGTCGAATTTTCTACTCCTCGAATTATTGTCGACAGCATATGTGGAGTTAAAAGCAGTGAAGAGAGTTCCTTTCTCTGCAAGCATTCCTTTCTGCGTAAAAACAACGTAGAGTAAGAGCAGAAAACATTATAGCGATGCCGCGAGTCACACGAAAGAAAGCAACTCTCAAAGGACGTATCCGGCGCTACAAGTCACCCTCTCAAAGGATGTATCCGGAATATACCGACCTCAAGGGAGACACTGGACTGGTAACTCGATAAATAAAGAAGCAAAAATGGATAAATCGGGAACGAGCCAGCCAAACGGCTCCTGTTTCCATTATCTAAAAAAAAAAGAGAGAGAGAGAGAAAGAAAGAGAGAGAGAAAAAATGTTGGTACTCTTTGTCTTTGCTTTTCAGTTTGCTCTAACGGGTTGGTTTTTGTTTCCCAACGGGCGTTCCGAGTTTCGTGGTGGAAAAAGGAGGATAGAAAAGCGGTTAGTAATGACGAGGGGCACAATAGCGGATAGTTAACGCATACAGCTGCGTCGGTTGGGTGCGGGCGGGGTTGCTCTGTTGCTCATTGGTGGCTATAACGACGTGAGCGTGTTGTCCGAGTGATACAGAATAGCAAGCGACGACATTGGGTCGCGAGCGAAGCGTTGAATTGTAGGGAAGAAAAGAGACACGGGCGCGCGATCAGTTAGTGGCCTTCATTTGGGTGCAAATGGAGTTTTTCCTAAATGGACGTTTCGAAAGTTTGCCGTTGTCAGGCATTGTTTGGTCGGCGGCAGGAAGGACGAGAGCAGTAGGAGCGAGTGCAATACGGAATCAGTCTGCCAAGGCTTTGATTAGCTGGCGTCACGAGGTCAAAGGCTTCCTCGATTGTTCGCCTCGTATTTATAGTTGGTTCGTTCATTTTCCTTGCGGCAATTGTCACTCTGCTGTTCCTCGTCTTCCCTTATTCTTCGTATCATTATCTTCTTTTTCCTTTTCTTTCTTTCTCCGGGAGAAACTGGGATTGCTTCTCGTGGAGAAAATATGATAAGAGAGCACTTTGTCTTATTATTTCATATGATTAAAAAATTCATTGATGATTAAATAAATTTAAAAAAATCGTTTATTTTTGCCATTCTACATTTCCCTCTTTTTCAATTTCAATTTCAAATTTTTCTGCCTTATTTTTCTTTGTTTGCATCGAAACGGTGTTTGTTCCATCGTATAGTTGATTATAGATAGCTCACGCCGCGGTTTGTTTGCTAAAGCTCTTATCTCTGTAACACCATACTTGATACAATTAATCGTACACTTATTATCTATATTATATGTTAGCTATAACTTGAATGAAAATTGTCGAGTAAAGATGTGTTATGAGAAGACGTGTTATGAGGAAGATAATTCCTGTTTAATAAGCTCACGATATTATTCACGATTATCACGAAACTGGTATTTACTCTCCCTTTTATTTGCTTGCGATTTGAAATAGATGTTTCGTGGCGAAAATGAACGAAGTAAATTTCCGAAGCTCAATCGGACGTATATATCGCTACGTGATCGAAACACGAGCGACGGACACTAAAAGGAAAAGCAACGATTTCCCGTTGCTTTACGACAGTAATTAAGCGCGACTTCGCTTAGAAACCGCAACTAATGCTTGCTTCCATTCGATCTCGAAGCTTCATTTGCCCGCGCATCCAATGATGCCGTGCCACTTTGATCTCGAGTTGAGCACTTACAAAAGTGAGATCGCTCAATCTATGAGCGCGTTAGCATTTATTTACTATCGAATCAGCAATTCGCTGAACGCGTTCCCTGAATAAGTTGAAAAGCGCTATTAAATAGCAGCTTTACTAGATCCGATTTAAAAAGATAAAAAAAAAATTTTTTTAATTCCCTAATTCTTCTAAAAATTCTCCTATTTGTTTCCGATGTCGTTTTTAAATCCAATCATTTTTCTAAAGTGTGCATACGAAATTTAACGAAAAGAACGATTTTGCTGAAGTACCTAAAAATTTGGCTGGATGCAGATCTGAAAATAATTTTCTTGAACCACCAAAATGATTACGTAGAAATCTTAAGCATAATAAACACACTGAGAAAAAAATGTAGAATGTATTGCGAAATAGAAATATTACGTTTTCTTTGATATTTATTAGTTAATTCAATTACGATAATAAAACACACATTTCTGTGAAATATATTTTGTTAATTATAAAAAAATAAAATACATTATTTGCTAAGACTAAAACTTTAATTCGCCGTTTATTTAAGTAAAGATTTATTTCAGTGAAATATATGTTTTACAAATAAATTTTTAAGTATCTTTTTCTTAGTGCAGTGTTGCAAAAAATGTTAACATTCTAGCAACCAGTTTAAGCGCTTTATATAATTATTTTTGATCCAACAAAATTACTTTCAGATCTGCATCCAGCTAAATTTTTATCTACGTCAGCAAAACTATCCTTTTTATGTAAATTTAATAAATTTCTGATGTAATAAATAGATTTAATAAATTTCTGTGTAGTGCCGAAGGTGGAGATTGTGGATGAGCATGGTGCTACGGCTGGTGACAAGTTCTACAAAGCAGGTAGTACAATAGAGCTGAAGTGTGTAGTCAGCAATATACCGCAACCCACTGGCTATGTCACGTGGCGACACGGATCTCGTACGTTAAATTACGACACGACTCGTGGTGGCATCAGGTAAGTAATAGACGACATAATATTAGGGTAGTGTGAGATCTTAAATGTGATGCAATGTAATTTCGGTGATACATTATTAAATATTAATTTGTAATTATCGGCTTTGATCTGAATTCGTCGTTACGTTATGTATATTATCTGTTTGATTTGTGTAGCACGGTGCTTAAATATAGCTAGTTAACATTCTGGTAATTTAGTCAACGAGAACTCGATAGTTTATGCAAACTGCATAGGCATTCTAAATTGCCTCGATAAAGAATGGTACGTCCGGTGAATTTTGAAAGGCTTCTATTAAAGTTCTCGAGCGACGGTCAACAATTGCGGCGGCTTCTGGGCGTATGTGACCTAATTGGATATAGATATGACAGCATTCATGAATTTCAAACAGCGCTTTAGACAGTATTTGATGGTGTCGGTTTCGTAGAACGGTTTTTTTTTTCAATCAGCGGTTCATCGATAAAACAATTTTGAAAATTTTCTCAAACGTAGCGCAATATAGTCTCTTTGTCTCGCTATTTGCTATACCTGCTTCGTTTTTCCTATGATTAGTTAGTTTACGTCACACGCTTCACAATTTACACGATAATAACTTGATAATAATGTGATCTATGAAAAATAACGATATCGATATTAAGTCTGAAATAAAGAATGCGAGGTATCAGGTGAACTATTGACAATTTAATCATCCTCGAAAACACTCGATTATAGTGGGCCGAACATAATGAACGAGCTCATTGCTTGTGTTAAACGCAAGCAGCGGCTTTTGAATAAAACATACAAAACTTTAAATACAAATCGGGTCACAAATACCATTAGCAGAAATTAGGCCGATTAATTGAAATTAGCTGGAATTTTATTTTAGAATAATTGAAAAAAACGCCTTGTATATAATATTATTTTATAATAAATATAATTAGTAAAAAATATTTGATTAAGTAATAAATTTATTTTTTCAAGTTGTTAATTAAAATTTTAAAATATTTGACCAACATTATTTCGATATTTTTTTTTTGAAAAACAATTTTATAAATGAAATAACAATTTAATTTTTACAATAAAAATCAGAACGAAAATTGATATTCACGCATTAAGTCTGCACAAAAAATATTTCGTCATCTTTAATAGAACACATTGTCTTTTTTATATGTTTTTGAAATTTGTGAAAGTATTAGATGATAATTGAAACAGAGCTTTCTAAAAATTTTGATGGCATTTAAGATAGCATTTATAAATTAAAATTATATCTATAAACATAACGTAAGCGAATTGCAAGATGCTTTACTTTTAAGTATGTTAAGTTTTGGTTGTATAAAATTTGCTAAAAATATTATAAACATAAAGCCCATGCCACTTATGTACACGTAAGGTAGTAAGACGTAAGCAATAAGCGAATCAGCCAAACACAATAGAAAACGTAAGGTTATTATCTTACCAATTCCCTTATCTCGCAAACACAATAGTAAGCCTTTACACAATAGTAGCCTTAGGAATTGACCAATCATAGTCGATTCTTCATTATTCTTTTTACATTCGACTATGATTGATCAATTTCTTAAGGCTTACTCTATTGTATTTGCGGGGTTACCACTTACATTTTTGAATTTCTGACTTTATAAAAAAAAAATTTGTTTTTAAAAAGTCAATATTAGCTAAAGTCATCGACGCACATTGCATAATTGCTTGCATTTTATAATAATAAATTATTAGAATTACATCACACTGAACGCAGGATTTTTAGTAATTTACTAAAATACTAAAATACAAGAAAATATGTATTATATGTTGCTGGCTTAATATCAGCTAACAAATTTTTGTCATAAATACGCCCTGCAAAAAGTAAAATAAATGATTTGGCTTATAATGGCTTTATGTAGCGAAGTGACCATATTTTATTGTAATTTTAGATAAATAACTTTTAAACGAATAAGTAGCTCCAAATGAACTTTTACACGAATATTTATTAGAGTTTTATTAGTACATATAACTAATTTAACTTAATTTATAATGTTATGTCCTTATCAAATTATAATTATATACTACAAAATGTGATTTTACATAAGAATCAAGATAGAAAAAATTAATTAAATAAATTTTAAATAACTTTAAATAAGAATTGTATAAAAAAAATTTTATATAGATATATAGAATAATAAAATGTATGAAATTTTTATATTTTCTATTCTTTGAATTATGACACATAATCCTTAATATTTGATTTTTTCATGAAATTTTACAGTTCCAAAAAATTTACGAAAGTATTAAACGAGGATTCAAATAATTTTCTAAAAATTTTGTTAACATTTATAAGTAAAATTACATTCTTTCATTCATTCAATGTTACATTTTTTTAATCAGACGTTGGATAGATCATGTAAGATATAACAATTATTTATTTGTTTTGCGGGCAAATACACACAAACGACATAGCATAATGCGGGAATTAGGACAGCGTGTAGAATGCGTGCGCAATTTATTGAGTGCATTCTATTACCCTTTGATTATCCTTGGTAGACGGTTTTGCGAGATCGTTAAACCGAACGTGTCAAATGCAGCGCTGCAAATAAACAACGTTCGATCACATCGTCGTCTATCGTGATTACTGGCTCGCTGGATCCTATAATGGCATGCAGGCTTTCCTCGTTTGTGAACCATTATGAAAAGACTGTATCATCGTATCTTGCAAGTTACGGTCGCTATATCCTGAAAACAAGTTTCGCAAGTTTTCGCAAGTGTTCCGTAGATGATATAGGGAAGAAGTATATATAGTATAAAATAATCAAACTTCATGCTATTTATAACCTTCGCGAAATAACTATAATTGTAGGCTAAATTTATTATTTCACTCTTCACTAAAAAAAAAGAAAGTTTGAGAATAGCTACTAAACCTAAATATACCTTTGGTGAACATTTTTTTCAGAATTTTTTTGTACAAATTGGACGCTTTTCAGAAATATCGAGAAAGTCTACATTCTTTCTCATTGTTAGTTGTTTTTTGTGTACACGAATTCTGAAATATTCTAAAATTTTTAAGATTGTATTCTGTAATTTCTGAAAAAACACTTTAAACTTATGCAAATTTTATAAAATTTATCAGAAATCATAAAAAATTTTAATATAAGGCTATGAGTCACAAACCGGATAATAGTTGTTGACAATTAAAATTCATCAAAATCTAATACATGTAATCTATAAACGTTTTGATCCTTATCGAATCATCTTCAGTAACGTACAAATGCGTAACATATAAATGCGTACTTAACTATTCTAAAACATCTTCAATCTTTACCGTACATATTGTGTCAATCCTTCCAATAATTAAAGCTGATAAATTATGACAATTAAAAAATGCCTCATTGTAACTGTACACATTATTAGATTGTCGTTTTGACTTACAAAGGTCGATAGATGTTAGTTATTCCAAGATTGAAATTATTATATTATTAAAAATTGTTATATTATTAAAAAATTAGTCTAACAAATTAATTTACAGTCACATCTTAAGTCTGAAAACTAGAAGTTCAAAATATACAATTACATAAATTCACAATATTCCTAATTACACAAATTCACAATACATATCAAAAATTAGAAAAACTGTTCACCGCCACCAAAAAGAGAAAATTCTTTTAACAATAATAAGAATACAAGGCAAGTACAAGTTAAGCAAGTAAAAAAGAAGGGGAAAGAACGTGAAGTTAGAGATAGAGAGAAAGGAAGGGGGAAGCGTTAAGATTAGGAAGGGAATAATAATTATAAAATTGGGAGAAATCAGAAAGAAATTCGATATCGCTCTGCTTATTTAAATCATGCTGTTATTTTTTTATATACACCATCTCTGAAATCAATCTTTTATTATATGATAATTTTATTATCTAAAATTTTGACGTTGTTCCATTTAAAATTGTGATCATAGCTCAAGCAGTGATTCGAAATTATCAAAGAGGAGCCCGTTCTTTTGTGTGTTTAATGTCATTTGCATGTTCATTAATTTTAATTTTTAAATGTCGTTTAGTCTGTCCCACGTATATAACGTCACAGTAATGGCAAGAAATCTTGTAAACAACTTCTTGATGAGACATGTAATCCAAAATCTTTATTTCGAATGATATATTTCTGTACGATGTTGGAAATCGTAAAAGCTATTTTTTTATTAATACCAGCAGCGATCGGGATGGAAGATTTAGAGATGATCTTAACATACAGCACAGTAAAATATCGATCATTGATTCTGCCTCGATTTACTTGTTTAAGATTGACATTATTATTGTAATGAAATTTAATTCTTGTTGTATACTACAAAAAATAAAATTAAGAGAATAACCGTTATTATTTAATAAAATCTGAATAATTTCTTCTATAAAATTTTGTTGGTGAAAAGTAGCATGAGACAAAAGTAAAATTCAGTCAACTATACCATAAAAACGCCTTTCTTGCAATGCACAATGGGTGGTGAGAATTAAAATTAAGAAATCTAATGTAAACAAATTGACTTTTTTGTATCGATCGAATATAATCGCATTGTTTTTAATAACGAAGAAATCATAGAATAAGATATCTTGGAATATTTCAAAATATCTTGCAATATTTCATATATATGAAGAAATTTAGAAAAGATGTAGATTTTTTCGGCACTTTTAAAAAGTATCCCAATTTGTATAAAAAAATTTTTTTTTTATATGAACAATTTTTTAAATGTTATAAAATTATTCAGAATTTTGAAAAATTCTGAGAAATATTTTCATCAGTTTAGTAAAATATTTAATCAATATTTTTAAACAAAATAATAATAAAAGTTTGATATTAATTAGGAAAGTTAAATAACAATTAGAATAAACGAAAATAATAATTAGAAAGATAAAATAATTTAGAAAAGTAAAATTAGCATTTAATTAATTATAATTATACATATTAACCGAATTTTAATTGAATGTATTGCATTAAAGATTCATATCTCAACTTGATTATTATTAAAATTTTTTCAGTGTTTTAACTTAGAGTTC